GAGTAGCTGCTGCAGCCTGTGCTGTTCTGACTCAGTTGTCCGGCATATGAGCTCGTCTTTAATGGTCTCTTAGGGGTTGTCAGGACGTGAAGAATGCAGAATGCCTCTTACTATGGCAATGACAGCAGGTGGTAAGGTGCCGATGAAGTAGTCGTACGTCGCTGTTTGTGACGTTACCCGGTGTCGTTGAAAGAGTGGCTCGATGCTCAGAAACCAGAGTTCAGAGTCTGCCTGCCAAAACTCCGGGAGCCTGAGGGTAGCGATGACAGGGTCAGGTACCGTGGGATTTGGCGTGGCGTTGCTGTTAAGTGTGGTGTCCATGGTCAGCCGAAGTGAATGGGGCTGAATAACCAGAGTTGGCCGTGACGATCGGTGCGTTGACGAAAGGACGAGTAAGTGCGCATTGCCGCTCGAAGTCCGGGTCACCACTTTAGGAAGACGTGCGGCGTTTGGTTTCCTACATTTTTTTATTTATCCCTGCTCTGGCATGGACGTCCACAGATGCTGTTGTTCTTGCTGGCGTCTTCTTTTCTCGTGCTGGCTCGAACACACAGAGCAGCTGAGGCAAAACTTCTTCGTCTTCTCCGAGACGCTGATGGCTTGCCATAACGTAAAGCTGTACGCAAAGCACGGCACACAGCCATGGCTGTACAGGAGCGGCTGTAACTAATGCAGCAGCGGCAGCGCGCCACTGGCTCGAAAGCAAACTTCAAGCTCATGGCGTATTACAGGGGGCGCCACTGTCGTAAGCGAACGAAAAAAAGCAACGCGCCAGAGAGGAGGCGGCGAGGGGAGAGCAGATGGCGGTACTTTTACGAAGTATAGGGGCTTTATTGCTGCCTGATGACGAGGTTGAGTGGCGGCACATGAGACATGAGAGGCTCTCTTTGGCGCGTGGTAGCTGGCACGAGTGGTCGTCTTCCGCAGCGGGTCCATGGTGACCGCACCGCGGGTTGTCTCTCATGGGTCCTTCGTGGTGAGTCGAGTGTTGGCAATGCCGCCTTTGCGTTACCTAATTTTTGCCGTCATGTTGATTGAGTGTATTGGAATATTGTATAAGGTTGGTGGTGGTGGTAGTGGTTAGAAGATGAGAAAAGGCACCTAAATTCTGCAACCCGGTCGGGAGCACGGCGCAGTGCCTATATAAGGTTGTCTCAGCTTGCCACTAGTGAAGTATTGAATCGGCTGACGATATTGTCAATGTAAAAGTAGTTCAATGAATTACTTTCTTTGGTTTGGTTCAACCGCATACTCTGTGGGTTCCGAGAGCGTGCCTCATTTCGAGACCCCACTATATGTTTCCGACAGCCACAGGACATCAGAAGCAGGCATGAGGCCACATGATGGTTCCAACAACTTTGCCTCTGTGTACACAAATCATTGAAAAAGCAGTGCACATGCACATATTTCGACAGGCTGCTACATTGCTTGCAAACACAGTGCTTGCAGACTGTGCTTCAGCCATTGCATGGTCTGCAAAAATATCGTACGGCACCAAGAAAAGGCTCGACAGAACAGCCCTACAGCAAGAGCATATTCAAGAGATTAGCAGCAAATGCACAAGTAAGAACAAAACAAATGTCGTATAACCAGACTGGTCATAGAGAGCATATTAGACATGTCATAAATGATTGTTGTGTTAATTAGTAATTACCTTATTAACATAAGCTTCCATAAGCCACTTTCCTGCATGCATATAAGCAACTTTCTCTGTGCATTCAAGGTTGCTGAAGTTTCCTTGCTTTTGCAACATTATGTTTCAATTTTCTCTTTCAGAAGGTCAAACAAGTGACAACATCAGACAAGTGATGACAATGCAGGTCTAGTGCCCAAATCTGAGCACACAGGGCTACAGCATTTTCGCCTATATCGAAAATTCAGCTGCCGCTGATAAGGTCTAAGCTTCTGGAAACCTGCAACTGATTTCTATTCAGCCAGTGTGCAAAAGGGAGGAGTGCAATGCTAAGGCTGTTCATTACAGATGAAAGTGTTGTCACCGAGCTTAAATGACAGGTGCAGTCCACACTCAAACCTCATTATAACAAAGTCACGTTTGCCAAAAAAAAAACTTTATTATAACCAAAAAATTATAAACATATATTAATAACGCAGTATTTATTGCAAAAATGATTTTCATAAACTTCATTATATCTGTGTTTGTTATATCGAGGTTTGAGTGTATTACACCAATAACATAATGTTCTTGATACTACAAATTGGAAAGAAAAGTGAGACGCTTGGTTAAGCAAAGCACGACCGGGGAGAAGTAGGGTTAATGAAGCACTTGTGACCATTTAGTCCAACACGTCAGAAAAGCAAAAGCGAGTGTATGACGCAGTAATACAGTGTAGCGCCAATTACAGCTCGGTTTATTTAAGCTGTTGTCGTTAATTTTGTTCCCATACAAATATAGTGGAGGCCGTTGAGATAACGATCACTCGCTTTTTGTGATCCCTGAAAGAGCGCCATATCTGGAAGAAAAAATTTTTGAGTGTTCTTGCTAAAAAAAAAACATAACCCATCGTAGATAAACGCCTCTCAACACAGCAGAAAACCACGTGTTTCGAGAATTCGATATAAATGGTGGAGCTGAGTACATTTAAAGAAAGCTTCATCTAGGCAGAAAGTTGGTTAAAGTTAACTGTGCAAAATAATCAGTCAGGAGTTTTCACTGAATTGGAGAAAGATGAAGCCGTAAAGCCCGCTCATAATAAGGAAAGTATAAAGTGTGCACCTGAAAGAACAAAGAAATAGCAATGCAAATTCCTCGAAATACAATACTGTGCACGGTGAGATGCGCTAAACAGTGCGCAGAATGTTATGATGCCTGTGGATAAAACTTCACAAAAGAAATTTAACATCTTGCAGCAACGATTAAAAACAATCTGGTGACTAAGCTAGTGTGAGAATTTGGAACGGCTTACCTGTTCATGTAAAATATATAGCAAAATTATTACCATATTCACTTCGTTCTTTCACTGAACATTCACAAGTGCAAGTCAGTTATTACCTAAATTTGTTTTCTTTTAGTGTAGTTAAAAATGCCACACTGTTTCTTGTGTTTATCATTCCAGCTTCAACATTTGCAAGTATCCCCTAAAAGTGCCAGAAGTATGACCTATAATTGGCAGAAATAAGAATACTAGTTAATGTTATTTACTCAAAAACTATTTTAGCCGTAACTTTATGGTAGGCTTTGGCTTTATACGGCTAACACTATGGCTAGACCCAATTTGATAGTCCGTGCTATTCACATATCTCATTCTCCAGCATGATGAACAAGTGCGAAAGGCCAGCACGTTTTTTCAACAAATAAATCTTGGAAACATTTATGACCTCGGATCTTGAGAACTGATGAGTCAGCCTAGGTTTTCACTGAATCAGAGAAACGTTAAGAGATAATAGGTGTTAATTCCCAAGCTGAAAATGACAATGACGAAGATGTGGCACGACATTAAAAAAATTTAATGGTAGCAATGGAAGGGCAAATGGTAGGGCAAATCACACTACGTATCAAGCAATGGTAGGGCAATGGTAGGGCAAAGCAATGGTAGGGCAAATCACACTACGTATCAGTCTCCTTAAATCGGCAACAAAACAAGTGGCTAGGATGATTCAGAGGATCACCTTCCACAAAAAGGGCATGAAGGAAAGTTATACTATGTGTTTACTGAGCGAATTGACAAACAGCTTGCCTTTCCAAACGCTCAACAAGGACGGGGAAGAGCAAGCATATTCTATTATCAGAGGGGCTTACAAGGCAGCATTAGGCTTACCGATAGGCACTCCCGACACACAGGCTTCTCGAAATCGGTGTGCATAACACGTAAATCGAGCTAAAAGCAGCAACATTGATCCTTCAGCGCAACTGCCTCAGCCAGACAAAGTCGGGAAGGGAGATATTGATAAGGGCGGGTATACTACCACAACCCCAAAACTCAAACGAGGGGCTGGTAGACATACCAGCCCCAGTCTGACGGCATATTTTGATCGCCCCTATTCCTAAGAACATGACCAAAGAGCGCCAGAACCAAAGGCAAGAGGAGCGCGTAAGATGGTTAAAAAAATTGGTTAAAGGCAATCATAATGTGCTATATGTGACACTTCCAGGTATAAATGGAAGCGCTGCATCGTCACAATTGTAAGCAGCAACACAAGAAGCATAATGTCCAGCACATCACTGTACACTAGATTGATCACAAAGGCCGAGTCTTTCACCATTGCATTGGCAATTAGAAGTCAAGAGCGCAACTACGGCCAGGCGTACCTCACCATACTCTCAGATTCGCAAGAGGTGTGCCGGCTATTTACAAAAGGCCACCTTCCATTAAACATTTGCAATATTTTAGGCAACAATTGAACAACACATATAGGTTGGTCTGGTGTCCACGACATGCAGGCCTAGAGGGTTACGATAGGGCGGATGCTCTAGCTCGAGCGCTCACAAGCCAAGCGAAGTAGCAACCTTTCTCACAGTTACCACCACCCAGCACTACGCACGTTGCCTTTCACGAGGACCTGTTCAGATGGCTGCGCGAGAGCTTCTTGCTCACCTGCGATGCCCGCGGCAGAAATATGGCACCCCCCCACAAATCTCTAAAAGGGGAAGATGCCATAGACCTCCATACAATTCAAACGGGAGTTTATCCAAATTTATTAAGATTCCACAAAATTCATCCAACTTTGTATGGTCACGATTGTCCGTGGTGTCGCGACTCGCCACCGACCTTGTACCATACCTCGTGGAGCTGCATTAAACGACCAAATGAACTCAATCACTTACGGCGTATGTATAGAATAGAAAACTTGCTGGAGCAGTGGGAGGCACTCGTCGCTAGCTCGTACCGGGAGGTGCAACTAGCACTCCTGGAACATGTGCGGCTGGCAGCGCAAGCCAGTGGGGCCCCACCCGTTTAGCTCCTAAACCCCTCCTTTTTTAACCCAATAAAGTTATCTTGCTGCCACAAAGCCAAAATTTAAAGAAGTCAAAATAAGTGCACCTGTGCACAATTTCATCGCTTTTCTTCGAGGGACTCGGCTGTCGGCACTGCTTCGGGTTTCGCGACTCGGACGCAGAGCGTGACTGGTCTCTGATGGGCACATTTCTCGCCGTCACCACCGAAAGACTTCGCCGCGAACTAGCCCCTTGTTTCGTCCCAGTCGTCCTTGTCATAACTTGGGGCTGAAAAATTCAAACAAAAGCCCGATTCATAAAAAAAACAAAGGAACAGCACAGATCCAACATGCACGTGTTTATTTGAAATGTTACCAAAAAAATATACCGAAGGTGGTATAGGTGACTTTTATTGTGTTCGAGCGTCTCTTCACTGATTAGTTATACATTTATTTGCATATACAGTTGCACCCCTTTATAAGACACATGCACCAGGAAGCAATTCTTGTCTCTTATATGAGGTGTCTCTCATTAGCAGGGTAATACTACATATGCGTTTTCTTATCGACCCTTCTTCAAGTGCAGGCCCACTGGTGTCGCTTATACCTATTGGTCTATTAAATTAGTGCCTCTGATAGAGGGTTTGACTGTAATGCTATTTTGCATGCCAGATATTGCAGGAGTGAGTACACGTATCAGATGCAAAAAGTACAAAAAAAGCCAATAACAAAAACATCAGGAAAAGATCGACAGACGGAATTGGGGAGCACGTTTGCAAATTCATAATTTTGAGAAGTTTACCAAGGATTCCTCTAGACCGATCAAAATCCCAGTAGTAAGCAGAAAAAAAGCAAAATCCAGAACAATTAATAGATGAAAAATAAATGTTAAGACAGTGACTACTTTTGCTAGGCCAATAACCAGACACATTGATGAACATTTTCACACGAAAAATCTTATGCAGCAGCTCAATTATGTCACCAGACGATAACAATATGTCAATTATAACTCTATACTGTCATAAATCCAATAAAATGAAAGAAAAACAATGCTATACTACTTTGAGTTGCTTCGCTCTAATATTTTAAAGTTTGTGTAGGAATAAAAGACTCAATGAGACATCAGAAACATTAAAAAATATGCATGTTTTTCTCGTCGGAGTTGCACAAACCTATGTAAAATGAACTTAATATGCCCTTGCCTACGGAATACGTACGAAAATGTTTATTGAGGAAGAAGCAAGAAAGGCTTGAAGTTTTGGACATGGTACGTACTAGGCACTGCATGCAATAGCAGAGTTCACCATGATAATAAAAATTGAGCATTCCACACAAGCCTTATCAGGCTGGTGGTCATCAATTTTATTTGCAACCGCGGTGCAGGGGTTTACAATCTTTGGCGAGTGCCTTTCATTTTTACTGGCTCCGTCTCCCTGTAAGACCAATAAATAAACGAGAATATATGCACCACAGCAATGCCATACTATATGAAACAACTACCTTTAAAACTAAAGTAGTTAAATGGAATAATGACGAGTTTTTACGGTACCTGTTTTTTTTTTCAGAGCAATGAAAAGGTTACAGGTGTAATTACAGAATGGATATTGATCGATACATAGGATTGAACATTCCAAAACCACCAAATTATTATAAGAGACACCGTAGTGGAGGACTACGAAAATTTCGACCACCTGGGGTTCTTTAGCGTGCACCCAAATCTGAGCACACGGGCCTACAACATTTTCACCTCCATTGAAAATGCAGCCGCCGCAGCCGGTAATTGATCCCGCGACCTGTGGGTCAGCAGCCGAGGACCTTAGCCACTAGACTACCGTGGCGGGGCTAATTACAGAATGATAATGTGGAAAACATCATGAAACATTTATAATCAAAATTCTTCAACCAGCGGCAACTATGAAGTCGTACACATAACAGATAATAAGAACGGTGGGCGGTGAGCACGGCAGCATTTCTCGTTTGTGCATTATGGTTGCGTGCACTCTGAGCACATGTGCTGCAGCTCAACATGTTCCACTAGTAGGCACGAATACAATGAAAACTTCTCAGCGTCAACATCTTTTATCTCTTGAGTAGCACATAACAGAGTGGTGATGAATGATAATATACGTGGTCTAATTGTAAGCCCTCGTTCTGGAGCACATGAAAGCAGCAAACATAACGACTCCATAATGCAGCTTCAACGCTATTCAGCAAGGCTGCAGCATTACATACTATTTTAACTTTCAAATGCAATTTAAATAAATAAATACCACTGGAATTGTGAAAGGGATGCTTGAACCTGGGAATCCCACTATAATTTGCAGTCTCTTCATTTCCACCATGAACTAGTTGCACGTTCTGGCCAGTCGGCAAACCCTTTAACTATGCAGTTATGTCAATCTTTAATCTTGCACTACATGATGAAGAGGAATGGAAAGCTGTGGCATCAGCTTAGCATGTTATGAGTTCAAATGCACAAGGACGACACACATGAGAGAAACATGCATGTGTGCACACACACATGCACACACATAGCACAAGCAACTTTTATTTTGAGGAACTAACACAAATTCTACAGAAGTCTCCATTAGAGCAAAGTCATGTTCAATGAGAGCAGCTCTGATAATAAAATCGATGCCCACTCACGTAACACTAGCCTGCGCCAATGATTATTTTTGCCTTAGTAGCTTTAACCACATTATGACTCCTGGCAACAACACAAGAAATGTTAAAATTTTGTTGTGCGCATTCACAATCTCATCAACGAATGGGTTGGAAGCCAAGGCTTTTGTGTTACAATGATAGCCAATTGAGCTAGCTGGAAGGAATTCATTATAAAATAAAGTAAGTGTACAAAAACAAACGCAAGAGCAGAGAACAAAACAACACAAATGTCTCGTGTGTGGTACGTCTTTCTTTTCATGTGTTCGAGCTGGCAAACATTGCTTTTTATTTTTTTAGGAAGCAGTGTTTTGCGTGTGCATCTCTCTGACGTGTCTTATATTTGAACTTTTTTTCTTAGGAAACTACCTTATATATCTCCTGCATATCTAGTGTTCGGTTAATAACTAGGCTGGGAACGATAACTGGCCATCTCACTGGTGTTCCTACTTTTTGCCACTACGTGGTTATCATAACGAGCAATACATACTCTCTCTGATTGCCTCAGACTACTCGCCGTCACCAGCAGAGTGTCAGTTTTCTCCAGAGAGTCTCGAAGCTTTTGCTTAGCTGCAAAAGAGGAGAAAGAGCAAATTAATAAAAGGTGAGCGGATGCAGATGGTAACCTTCAGTTTTCAGTACGCAGAACACATGTCAGCAAGTTCCGTGCATTAGAGAACGCGGTATACAAAAGATCTCGTAAAACTTGATCGATTACCTTGCGCTACGTCCATTTGAGGGGCACTAGGTTGGTTTTCTTTCGTTTCTTCGGCAGTCGCGGCTCTGGAACATAAAGGGCGGCTAACATGATAGTACGCAGCGAAAATATTCAGAGAACGCAATGCATGAGAAGGACACGATTACTGTAAAACACCATTTGATATCAGTCGCTTACACAGAGTTGAACAGCCGGTAAAACTCATTCATATCGTCCACCGACTGCCTCTCTGCGTCGACTTGAGCTTGAAGATTCTGCAGGACGGCCATCAGCCTGATATAAGGAGAAAAAAATCAAATAACTGTTGGCAAACAGTGCGCCACTGCGAAAGAAACGAACGTGTTACACGGAAGCTTTACCGGGTGTACACTGGTTTCCACTTCGAGGATCCTGGGTCACTCTCCATACCAGGATAAGTTCACCGGGCTTTGAATAACGCCAATATCGTCAAGTGACGCTGGTGAGTTCGAGCTAACGCGACACAGGGGTCGTTAATGTCTCCTCGAACTAGAAAAAAAAAAAAGACGCCGCAGCAAACACGCGCTTTACAACTCCACGTGCCGCCCGTGGCCCCACGCCGGCGCCAGTCGATGGTTTCGGTTTGGACTCTCAGAAAAGCATCTTGCGGTGCGTCACGATTTCAATTTGTATAGACTTCACAAGTACTCAGTGTCTTTCAGGCACAAGAGCTAAGTGTAAAGTTGGACCGGTTAGACTACGGTGCGGCCTTAGATCCATTAAAGACATTTTACTTCTTTATAAAAATGAATTAAACTAATGTTTTTGGCGCATTGTTTAAGCTAACCAAGCAACTGTGATCTCACGCCACTTTCGTTTCCACATGCACAAAATAAGTTAGAGCAAAAAAAAAAATTATCATTAAACGTGTTTTTTTTTGTTGTTGTATCAAAAACTATCGGTCAATCAATTAGCTTTCATCATTTTATCACATATTTTAGAAAATGTCTTGGGTTTGCATGCAACTATGAGAGGTCTGGGCTAGTTTGTATGACATGGCGATTGTTATGGCTTGAGAATAAGAACAGAACGACGACAAAAGAACAAGAAGAAGGGCGCTCGTTTTCTTCTTCTACCTTTGTCGTGTCCGTTCAATAAATTGAGTTGAAAGTTTGCTCTTCAGCCTTCATCTCTAGTGTACTATCTTCTAAGTAATGAATAGATACCAATTGGCCCAAGCAAGTACCTCATGAGCTTTGCCAACTCCAGATCAGAACCAGATAAAAAAACTATGTATATTAAGTATGAAAGGCTCATTGCCAGTTCGAGAGGTAGGCCACGACATGTAGGATAGCAAATGGACACCCATTACGATTTGAGTTAAATATGTCCCACACGGGATATCTTAAACATATCCTGTCTCAGATATCCGTAAAAAATGTAGTTTCGTACACATTTTGTGTCCTAAACCTGCTTCTTACTGCGGCTTGGCGCCCATCGCACACAAAATGACACTACTTACATTTTGCTTTGCTCACAGATGATCATCGTGTGAAGTAAAAAAAAGAAAAATAATAAATATTGCAAAATTGAATAAAAGATAATGACAAAGTATAATTCCAGCATAAATATTACGTATAAATTGAAATTTTATGTCTTCGAAACGGGAAAGCTGTGCGCGTTAGTGAATCACGAAAATTCTGATCAGCTTTGTTTAAACAGCGCGCCATTTCTCAAGTTTTTCAAAACCTGAAATAATGCAAAAAGTTATAAGTGTTACTTAATTTTAGAAATGAACTTGAGAAGTTTCTGTTGTTAAACACAACCTGTAAATTTTTGCATTTACTAAATTTAGCAGCTTGTACTAATCTGCTATAGTTGTGCTGTTTCGAAGCAGCTCTGTACGCGCGAGCAATGGCGCCGCGCGGGTGATGCGCGCGATCCATGGAGGACGGATCCGTGCGCGCGATCCCACCCGTTTCTGTGGTTCAGCTTCTGTACCGCGATACTGTAGACGTCAAAAACTCTGAAAGGTCTCTGAGCGGATACAGAAATAAGCTCATCGTCGTTGAACTTGCGGTACAGTGTTTACGATGCGCCAAAACAAGATACTTGCAGGTGTTAGGTGTTAAATACCTGCAGTGGTAGGTGTTCTGTGCTGTTGTAGGGAATTTATCGGAATGAATAATCAGTTTGCAGCCATTATTGCGGCACAAACATAGGTAAGGTTCTGTTTGGCGCTGGCAACTGAGATATACTACGCCAAACAGAACCTTGCCAAAAAATGTTCCATGCACTTGATTGTGGTGGTGGTTAGACCACGTTTTCGACGAAGACAGCGGTCTTCAGCCGCACTCACGTGATGAATGCTGCGAAGGACAAAAGTGGCAGCTTTTGCACTGCTCTTATGCAAATTAGGCTTTCGGTTCACGTGTTCACCGTGGAAATGAAAACGGAATCAGTAATAGAGTTGTTTGTTGTGTTCTTGGTACTTTCGGTAATTCAGCGTTTGTTTAATTTGGATAATTTTGCCGGTACCGTGACAGTCAAATTAACAAGCTTTTACTTCAATGCTTTTCGTGACTGGCGCTGCGAAAGGTGCACAGAAAAGTTTGAAAAACAAAATATCACTTTTTGCCGGTTTAGAGAAGTTGGTGGAGGGGACTGTTCCTGTCAAATAGTGGATAAAGTTGTACAAGTCTCGAACTGCTGAGACTTTCGGGACACAATCCTCTAATGACAGAGACGTGCGAAACTGAATCATTCAAAATTTTTAGCTCTGGAATGCATTTGTGTAATTTTTTGGCTGTATCAATTTACGTACTAGCATGTTGCCTCTCTCTGCAAGTGATGTGTATTGTTGCTTTTGCAGAAAACACGCTGGAAAAAATTTGATGAGGTAATATTGCCAGACACAGCCAAGAGAATGAAAAAAGATGTGTTTTCGGATAAGGTGGCTACAAATTGCATTTCTGTCTTTATTTCTGTTTTTGGATAAGGTGGCTACAAATTGCATTACTGTCTTCTGAAGCGGCACTAGGTGCCGCTTCACAAGACAGCATGCTGCCAAATCCTGCTTGCTAGGGTTCTTTCTGCATTACTTTAATTCTTCAAGCAAATTTCTCTATCACCCATTACATTACTGCTGACATACTTGGACAGCATATTTAGCTGCTCAACACCTGAATGTCGAGATCTGATTATGGTGGCTTATGTGAGCTGCAATTAAGAATGCCCACAAGAGCGCTTCTTAACTCAATAGTTTTGACATTTCAGTGGCACAAAACGCTCATAACGTTAGTAAGTCGGACAAGTTGGTTGTTCAGACTAATGCCCATTGTTCATGTGTTGTTCTTGCACGCTTTTTATGATAGAGAAAAAAGCATGGTGGAAAGTTTCTAGCAAAATATGATGCATGAGACACAATATTCACAGATGATGTATTCTCTCTCTCTCTCTCTATATATATATATATATATATATATATATATATATATATATATATATATATATATATATATATATATATAATGTAATTCGTTCACTAACAAAACAAAAAAGCCCTCTGTCCCCCATTATTTTGTTTGTGCATATGAGAAGTTATTTTTAGTATTGGAAATTTTGTGCGTGAATGTAATTGACGAGTAGAACTTGTTAAAATCCTCCATGAAACAGAAAAGACTTCCCTCATCGTAGTTCCATATCATAAAAATATTGTCTAAGTATCTTCTGTAGTAGAAAGGTTTCAAGGTGCGTCCCTCAATGAATGGGATTTCGAGTGAAGCCATGAAAATGCTTGCAAAGTCTGGGGCCATTTTTGTGCCCATTGCAGTGCCACTAACATGAAGGAAGTGCTTGCCACTGAACTCAAAATGGTCATAATTTAGTACAAGTTCACGAAGTGTAAACAGTACCTCGCCACTTACACCAGTTGATGAGTCAGATTTTACATATTCAGAAACCATGGCCGTTATTCCGTCATGGTGGGGTATGTTGGTGTACAGTGAGCAGACATCCACGGTCACCAGAAAACTACCGCCTAGGATGTTGAGGCTTGAAGTTTCGCAGATCAAGTGGTTTGTGTCGTTTAGGTAATAGGGAAAATTCAGGGGATGTCTTTTATTAAGGAATTGATGAATTTTGATATATTTTCTGTTGATGTGCTGTTACTGGATAGTATCGGACATCCCGAATTGCCTGGCCTTTGTATTTTGGGGAGCAAATAGAATCAACCGGAAACAGAATGGGCCAGTAACATTACTTTTAACATTTTGCCGGTAATTTTCTCGTCCCGGCAGAGATTATTTAGGGTTCCCTTTATCTCACTTTCAAATTCGGGAGTCAGGTCCGTAGGAAGTTCTTTGTAGAATTTTGTGTCTGATAGTTGTAGTTCCCCTTTCTTTAAGTAGTCCGACGTGTTTAGAATTACTATGCAGCCCCCTTTATCAGCAGGTTTGATGGTAATTTCAGCGTTTTTTCGTAGTTCATCGAGTGCTCTTCGTTCTGACTTTGATAGGTTGTTTCGAGATGGCCGATTTTTTTCATACGCTCTGATGATATCTTTTTGAACTGCTGATATATACATATCGAGGTGTTTATCCCTCTGCTCACCTGGACACCATGATTTGTCACCATCAATCAATTTATTCTCGTTCGTACAGTCCTTCCGATTATGAACGTATTCACGGAGGCTGAGATTATGCGCAAAGTTATCGAGGTCTTTGTAGAGTTCAAATTCATTGAATCTACCCGATGATGGACCAAAGGTTAAGCCTCTCGACAAAAGTTTTAGCCGAGCGGGCGTAAGCGTTGTGTTGGACAGATTGAGGACATTGTTCTCATAAGTTTTTCGCTGCTCTCGGCTATCACGTGGCACGGGAGTGTCAGCATCATATTCGAGGGTCAGGCTGTTTTGATTAGGATTACACTGTAGTTTCGAGTTCCCATTTTTCTCCTCAAAGTTATAGGTTGTGGTACGGGTGGTTCCTGGCGTTCTTGTAGGGTCTCATTCCCACTTTCCCGTTGCAGAGCAGTGGAGCTTCTGCAGTCCCGATAAAATTTTCTATCTTTTACTATTGAAATTTCGCCTCTCTTTTTTAGTTCATATCTTTCCAGTTCTCTCGCCTCATGCTTTCCGAGATTATATACTAATTTCTGCGTGGCCTCCGCAACACTGTGTTCGGCGGCCTTACGCTCACTATGGTCCGCAATGACCCGAGTCAGTTAGTTGCAAGGATGCTTCTAGTAATATTTATTTCCCACTTCCCCCTTTATGCTTCACTTAGTGTAGATGTTGAGGGGTTGCAGGCTAGGCGGAGGCCCTTGGGTGCAATATGGTGAGATAGATGTATGGTTAATTGTTCTGCACGAGTTTCCTATTGCACTAGTTTTTCAATGATTTCCCTAACCGATAGAAATGACTGGGACCATGCGTGTTTGAGACGGCCCGTACCTTTTGTTTTCCCATGTCAACTGGAAGCCGCCGCCTTAGTCTTCGCTGCGTTCGTCCGCCTGGTGTTGTAGGGCCCCGCTGGTGGGAGTCGCGACGTCGTCACTGCTGGGGCCCTGGATGGCTCTGTGTGTCCGTCGGCTCCCTGTTGTTGAGTGGG